ACATTAAAAACAGATTATGTTTGTTATTTAGAATTAATTAAAATAATTTCATCTAATTTCATGGTATTATTGATGCGTAACATTATAATAAAGAAATCTTTTCAGTATAAAATTACTTAAACAATGAAACGTTCTGAACTGCTATAATTTGAATGTTCGGTACTGAAAGATTATACAAAATGAAGAATAAATGAATATCTTTTTATAGAGAAATAAATGCAGTATAACTTAATTATAAAGATATAATTTAAGTATTTTTTATTTAATTATACTAATAAATGTTATCATACGAAAATCAAGTATTTTTTTATCACTTAATGATGTCCTTAATAAAAATTCCCAGAACATTAGTTAAGTTGTATTCTTCTTAATTTCAGATTAAGAATTGATTTCGGAAACCGGTTACGATGCAAATGTTTTAATTAGTATTAATGCATTTATATGCGTGTCACCAATCAACGATCGGCATTACCGTTTAAAAATGTCATTAACACGCAGTTTGCGGACGACTTAGTTAGGAAAGAACTTTCAGTATAGAACTTCAATCGCGTTTAATTTCGAAGAGCGCCTGTCTTCTGCAAAAACGTGTTTTCCTTAATCAACAACAACAACAACAGCAAAAAAAAAATAACTGAGGAAAGAAAGGATGAAAATAAATTATAAGGACATGCTAATGATAAAAGATGTTTACCTCCGTCTCGCCCACGTCTCTTCTTCTTCGAGCTCGCATTCGACGAACTTTTCTGGTTCGAAGACTTCTCGCACTTCTCCTTGTCTTTATCTTTAGCTTTCCAACGAATCAACATCGCGTTTCACTTGTCCTTTCTTCCTCTCGCCTCCTTCACAGAGAAGCTACAATAAAAATACCTCCTGATGATTCAATTCTAGATAAATATACACAGGTGACCAATTTCCTTCTATTGCATATTGAGACATGTTTATTATTTGCGGCGGATGCTGAATTGTTGCAGCAGCATTTATTATATCTTCTGCCTTCCGCAGCTTTGGGATACTAAAGTTACTTTGTTGTATGCACACACGCTTAAATATCCTATTCAACTTACGCTCATGCCTCGAGATGTTATAAAACGTGTCTTTTATCTATTTAATAAAAGCAAATTACTCTCTGCTTGCTATTTTAAGCATTCTCATAATTATATAATATAGAAGAAATCCACATATAAATTTTCGTTTTTATAAACAAATGTCCAGTATAATGTTTAATTTATAACTTTTTTTTCTCTCGTTAAAACTATATATGTACAGAGAACAAACACACATTCTTGGAAGTCAAATTTTCTACGTAATGATAAGAAATTATTGAATTTATATGTGTAGTCATCAATTCTCCTAATCTTTAGTCATTTTTACAACATATAATAAAGGATACAATTGTTAAAGATAAACAATTTCCATAACAAATATGTGGTTATAGGTGCATTTTTACTTAAATTTTATAGTAATGCTGTATGCATACTACAAGCGATACGAGACATATCAGTAACTAAAAATAGTGACATAAATTTATGTAAGTTGTTACACATGAAATTATAGTTGTCAATTCCAATGCTATAATAAACAAACTGAATGAAACATTCGATTTTGTATTTAATAAATACATTAATATTATTTTAAAATATTAAAATGAGAAAGCATTTTGGTATAAAGTTATAAACCCATCGTATTACAGGTGGAATGAATACTTCATGAGTTTTGTTTAAAATGTTTATACACAATATGAAACTGCCATGAATTATATGATTATTGAATAATCTACTGGGAATCGTACTTAATACTTTCATCCACTTCCCGTAATGAATGTGGGTAAATAATGGCAAACTTGAAACGCCGCAACCGAAGTTTCGGTAAGAGTTGCAGAACAAGAGTATGTAATTGTTTCAGCAAAGTTTAATAATTCAAGTATATAGTTTAATCCAATCATTCTCTGCATAGCTTGTTTTTTTCTTTTCTTTTGAATTTAGTTAATTATCAAGTGGTAATAAAATTAATGATTTTCCCCGTTTATGGTTAAACGGATTCCCTGTTTGAATTGCAAAAAAAGAAGAGTGCCTTATTAACGTGATATTTACGACTGAAGTTACGTGCGCTTCTAACGCGTAACTGGATGGAAGTGATGATAGGTATAAATTGACTGATAATAAAATTGATTAAACATGAAAAATGCGAAACTGTTTCCAATTCTGCCTGTCATCCTTCGCATTCAATTTACTCTATACCTGGTAAAACAACTTGCAGAATTTCGAACAAACAGGAAATGTTGTTTTTATTATATAACAAATCTAATAGATTTACAACTAACAAACTTTAATTGTAAAAAATGCATACGTTATTCTTTTTACAGTTCTAACTAATAAGAATTAGTCTATTTATTATTTGATAATATTTCATTTATTTTTAATTGTAATTTATATGAATTTTGATAAATTCTAAAAAAAATGCGCAAATGAGTAGTAAACATTGTAATTTTTTAATTACAAGTTGCGTATATCAAAACAATCGTAATGTTTTATTATAAAACTTAATTATAATGTCGTTAATTGAGAAATGTAAACAATAAGACAAAAAAGGAAATACTTAATAGAAAAGAAAATGATGTTGAATGAAGTGATTCAATACTATATACAAAAGAAAATTAAGTGTTAACAATAATAATTTACATACATTAAACTAATTGTATTATCAGAATTTGCATATTGATTTAGTCTTAAATACTTTATTTGTTTTAAAGGCATTATTGACCTGAAAAATTGATTATGTATTTATCAATTCATACTAATTGTTTCTTAATGAGTAATAAATGTTAATCGTATAGAATTGCTTAACATAATATTGTATAATAAACAATTAAATGTTTTATATTGAAATTAATGTAATTATCAATTAGACATTTAATTGGATATGCGTAGTGAATATATAGCATTAAGGACTTTGTAAGGCAAATATGCATTGTGTGTTTAAAGTGAATGTATTAATCTTGTAGGTTACAAGTAATATCGAGAGGCTCTTCTGATCGAATGGAGCAGAATTAATAATTCATAGGAACATTAATTACATAGCAAAATTACCGTAGGTACGTGAGATGTATTCGAATCAATATAGAAACCAAGGGTTGACACATCTGTCAAATGCATGTGGGCGGAAGAAAACAGCAGTACATAGTAAATACTAAGTGGAATAGCAACTAAGATAGAGCGGGCAGCGTGTGGCGTTATCCTTTTTAATTGGCTTTTCTCTCCCTTTATATGCAATAAAAGTCATTAGGTCATATGTGTGTAAGGTCGAAGGAGGTAGTTAGTTTCCACCGGTGTGTACAGAGTGTCTCGACTGGTTGTTTGGGAAACAAATAAAGCAAGTGGGTACTTACATAAATAAGGCACAGACTTGAAGACCGACAATTAAATATCGAAGGATCCGTTCCAGGATCGGTTATGCTCAGTTTTCAGAACGTCGTGGCAGGATGCTACCGATGCTATCCAATGTATATAATATATTAAGTATGTATTAGATCGCGAATTTTAAATCACTCTGTGTAGGCCGGGTTTTGTGTAGGCCGAGCGAGCACGCAGAGTGCCATGGCTGCAGGATAGTACAGCATCCTGATGACGTCACCGGGATAAGGATAATCGATAGAGGCGCTGCGTGCGGGAAAATTGCGAACCACGGTCGGAAGGTGAACGCCCTTTGCAATCACGCCCTTCTGCCCGGGCAACGTGTGGACGCATTTTCCACCAATTTTCCACCTTTCCCTTCGTACGACTCTCTAATCCCCAGCGCGACCATTTTAATTTAATAACCGCCCATTGTCGTCGTTCCTTGCCACCAAGAAAACCCTTTTTTTCCTGCTTCTTCGATCTCGCAACGATAATACACATTGATCAGGCGTGATCATCATCATCGAAAGTTTGCTCGGAACGTGCGATAACAAATATTTGAATTACAGATCGTAAATCGTCGGCGGGAGATGAACGGAGCAAAAGAAAAAGCAAAAATAATGTGGCAGTATTTCCTTTTGTGAAGTTTCCTACCTTTTAAGTTATTTTCTACAACATTTCAATTTATCAAAAAGGTTTCCTCCACACGTGACCAAATAGCTACCAGCTTTTCTTTGAAGCTTTCTCTTCTTCTTCTACGTGACTCAACACTAAACATTTTATTAAAACCTCTTCGTTTAGCAAATAAGTCCGAGTTTACGAAAACTTACAATAACAACATAAATGTGTTTGAAAATAGATACATTTATAATATATTTTATTTATAGCAAATGTACTTGCAACGAAGTTTCCGTTCCAACTGATGAACAACCATATCATTTAGAACTTTTTATGTTCAATAGCACTTTGTAACAATTATTGTTTTTTCTTTAATATAAATATGTTTTATTTGTTTATTACAACAAATATTGTAATTATTTACATATAGAATATAGACAAGCAAAGTTGTATAAGTTAGCAATAACCACAGATATTGATCACTAATTATAATAGTTTGAATTACAAATGTGTTATTTTAAATATTCTAAAATGAACTGCAATCATGTCAACATATACATTAACTGTATACTTTCCACAAAAAATCGTTAGTAAAATATATCAGCTAAACGTATATTTAAGAAATTTAAACCGATTAAACGATAAGTATCTTCCATAAAATATCTTTCGTTAATCAAATGCGTATAGTATAAATATCAGATTGTATAATACAAATATATTGGGATTAATAAGCAATAATTAGAAAATCAAATATGATTTAATCAATATATAATTTAATTTTTCTTAATTACATAAATGTCAGTTGTTTTTTTTATATATTTTACTTCTCAAAAATAAGAAATTAACTTAATATATTTGTGAAATATTTTGAATTAGTCCCCAACAGCCAATTAGATTAAACCTTTTTTTTCTAGAGAAGAAGGAGCTATTAGGGAATATAAATTAAACACACTTTGTTTTTTTTTTGTTCTCATTTTTATTCGTGTTTTTCTTCCGTAATAATTTATTAAGAAATCTTACAAGAATATATAATACATATGTAGATTACAAATACAAATATTTAAATGGAAATACAGTCATAATACTGATTTTACAACTAATAAAATATAATTTACAAAACTTACAACCTAATAGCTGCTTCATGTCTAGACTAGTGCCATAGTTTTCAGGACTATCCATTCAGAATAAATACAATAAGTTACTTGATCGCCCTGCAAACTTTGCACTACTTTTCTCTTCGGCTTAGCATTATCACTTACCGACAACAGCTCTATTTATCATTTGAGGATCTCTGATTGATAGAATTCGTTGAGCTTCGTTCGGATTGATATCGCTCTCCGATGCCATCGACTGTTTTCTTCTTAATTGCAGGAATTTCGTTTTACTATCGTTTGGAATTGGAGGAAGCGGTCTGTTCGGAGGTTCGTTGTATTGCTGGGACCGCGGATCCGTGTTGTACCTCTGGTACATGTCGTTAACACTTGCCGTTAATCTTGAACCTCGCACGAAATTATTGGCTTGCAACTGATTATAACTTTGGTGCTGCATTGGAGGAGCGTTGCTGTTACGCTGTAGCTGACCATACAGTACACCTGATTTCTGTGTCGGCGTCGGTGAAAGCATTTTACCAGGTTCGTGTATTTTACCATACATATCACACACTTGATTATTAACAACGGATGGACGCTGCTGTCCGTTTCTCCCATAGATTGGATCCATCACACTTTGCTTTGAACCATAAATTGAATCCTGTTTTGTACCGTAAATAGGTTCTCTTATACTTTGTGGTTGTCTGTTCATAAATTGTCTACTTCCATATACATCAGAAGGTGGCATATCATACCTTAGTCCATTAGGATTAGGTCTATTTGCGTAAGGATTATCAATATTGTACATAGGTTCTCTTTCCATTATATTGGGCATAGGTCTGGTACCATAGATAGGTTCCCTAATGGACGGTCTTGATCCGTAAAGCGATTCTCTGTCCATTTGATTCCGTTTTCCATAAAACAATTCACCACTTTGAGGATGTCTCGCCCCATAAATTGGTTCGCTTGGTAAGGGTCTTCCATAGTTAATGTCTTGTCTGGTTCCGTATGGCGATTCCATCGGAGGTCTAGTACCATACGGCGACTCAAACTGCCTCGATCCATATGGCGATTCGAATTGACCCCTTGTAGCATATGGTGATTCTCTTTCCATTTGGGCAGCTCTCGCCATCATCAATTGTTTCTGTCGCTGTTGATTTATTAAAAATATTTCGTCTCTCGTCAACTGCATTTGCTCGGGAATCATTTTATTGCCATACAATTTATCATTAATCGAGTCTACTTTCGTCTCGCCATTAGATTTTGTTCCATAAATAGGTTCGTTTACAGGAGGTGCATTTCCATTTGGTTTAGAATCCGGTAAAAATACATCATCATCGCCGGATTCTCGTTTACCGTCCATTCTTCTTTGCGGTGGACTCTGGGTGAATCCGTTTTTAGTCGGCCAAACTTGTGAGTTTTCCGTATTCTGCGAACTGTGGAAACTCACTTTTTTGTTGTAAAGGAATTGCGGTTCGACGGTTGATTGATTCGTTAAACTTCCGCGTTTAAAGATAGGTCTCTTCGAATAGTCCTCGTACATTCCCGGCATATTTGTGCTCACGGTACTCCTTTGCGGTGAATTTCTTTGGAAGTTAGGATTATACGTAGGTTGTCCACGAATTTGACCGTACAGCTGTTCGTTGGGTCTTTGCATGTAATGTCTCTGCATTATTTGATTGGGTCTGCTGATTTCTGCCTCTTCCATTCGTCTTTGTCGCTGGACTTCTCTTGGGAGACTTGTACTCCTCCTTGAATTTCTTGATGAAGTTGGAGACATGCTTCTCGATCGATGCGTTATTATCGGATCTTCGGCATAACCGAACGGTGTCAGTTGTAATTGCATTTGTAGTTGCATGTCTTCTTGCTGCTTCAATTTCTTCAATTCCTTCCAGCAGAACGCTTCAACGCTCTGACGAATTTCATGTTTCGGAGGTGTTTTCTGAAGTGATGATGTGGATGATGGAGTTCTCTGCATCACGGGAGTATTACCTCCGCTAGTTTGCACTGGTGTAATTGATCTGTTTGCAGTAATACTTTGCGGTGATTGTGAATCGACATGAACAATTACATTGGTCACTTGCACTGATTGTGGTGGACCTGATGGAGATTGTGTCAATTCTCGTTGTTTTCGTTGCCATTCTGCTGCTTCCAAGTTAATTGAGGGTTTAGTTTGTGGAGAAATAGGCGGTTTTCCCATTGGTATACCTTCTACTATCTTAAGCTGGTTTTCACTATAAACTGGAGAGCAATCTTTCTGCTTCAAATCATTATCCGGATAATCGATTTCGATTTCCAATCGCTGATGCGTTGGAGAGTTTAGTTTATCTTCTTTCTTAGTTTTCAGTAGTTCAGTAGCAATAATTTTATCAGTGCTTACCTCCGATGGAGGAATTGGAGACCTTATGCGAGGCTGCAAATCTACTTTATCTCTGATTGCTGGTAATCTTAACTTTGACGATTCCAACGACGGCGATTTCGGGCTGGTTCTTTGACTGCACATCGAAGAATTTGATTGCGGATTAAAAGCAGTCATATCTGGACTTGCAGTTTGAGGCCTAGTTATCTTCCTTTCAAACACAGTTCCATAGACACCGTCACTAAACTCATTGTGCGCTTTATTGGGTAATTCTTTACTTAAAGCGTTATTCAAATTCCGTTCCATCGTCTTAAGGTTAGGGTTGTTTTTGTTCTCTGTGTGATACGGATTTGGTAGAGGACGTTCCGAGTTAATCGGTATTATAGCCTTCGGTTTAACTAATTGCACATTCTGATGGGTGTCGTGAGCCCGCGGTGGAGTTTCCATGTAAGTATCAGATAATTCATTATTTTGTTTACATTTAATCAGCAACGAATTCTCTAAATTGCTATTATTTGAATCGGTGTCTTTAATTTGATTATCGTAAGTTAAGTTCTCGGAATCAAGTGTGTTTGACGATGAACTCGTATCGATGTACTTATGAATTGATGGTATGTTTATATAGTTAGTGGAACTGATTTTGGTATCCTTGACATTTCCGCTGTCCATGCAAACGTAATCCTCGCCGGCGCATTTCGGATTATCCAGTTGGCTGAAAACCGATTTATTCTGATTGAATCGATTTATATACATTTGGGCATAACGATGCTCAACATCGTTCACAGATTGTTGTTGTGACTGTGTTTGTTGTTGTTGCTGCTGTTGTTGTTGTTGATATCTTTGTTGAGCTTCTTTATTTTGTGCATGCGTTTTGGCAAACTCACTACCAGTTGTGTGTCGCACAGCTGAAGACCGGTTGAATGATGATTCATTTTGCACGTTATCCGCAAACACAGCATTCTCCGTTTTCTTTGTCTTCTTGTCTTCCTTCTTCTTATCCTTTCCGAAGAAGCTTCCTTTCAAGATACGCTTAAAACTGTTGCTGCGCTTCTTCTCCTTCGGCCTCTCGTCCATTTTAGAAAATAAATTTAAAGTCGCTTGGATATTATCGATTGTATCAATTGAAGAAGCTCTGGATACGAAATGTATATCCTCCGGATCGGCAAAATCTATGCTATCCAGAGATTGCTGACTGTGCAGATAGTTTGAATTCAGATCAGACTTACTATCCGCGGCTTTGATAACGACCGGAATTACAGTCTCTTTTTCGACGGTGGTCAATTCAACTTTGACGATTTCGATGGAATTCTTTGATGATCTGGGTGCGGGAACAGGCGGTTCCGAAAAAGAAACCTTCTTCGCTGGATTAGGCTTCGGTGGCACAACAGGACCTTTCTTGCGCAACACAACTACCTCTTCGTCTAGCGTACCTTCATCTTCGACTTGTTTACTAACAACACCTTTATCCTTATCTTTGTGTGCACTGCTTTTAGATAACTCACTATCGATGATTTTATTTTCAAACTTGCTTTTTAAAGCGCTGACCGAGCTGCTGCTGCCCAAAGAAACGCTGCTCGCCCGTTGCAATTTGTTATAAGCCGCACGATTAATGAAGCTTCTTCGCTTGATAGTGTCTCTCTTCAGCTCCTGCTTCGATTCCTGGTTACGGATTTTCACCACTTCCTCTTCCGCTTTCAGTTCAGTCGCTAATTTGTCCATGGTGGCGTTTCGGAGGATCGGCCGATTTGCAGAAACGATTTTCGTGTGTGAACGACTCCTAAAAACAAAACAAAAGAAAAATTAAATTAAATTAGATTAGAAAGTGTGTATGTATGTGGGAATGCCGGAGCTGCGGCAGACGTAATTATCCGGTTTATTACATGTATTAGTTTTATTTTTATTATTTCTTTTTGTACTGGGATGCTGTACCGTTCTGTTATTTTACTCGGCGTCTCTACATTGCCGCTGCATGCCTAATCATATAAACAATTCCTGTTTTTATTACAACTGGAAACATAAAATGAGCAGTCCGACTTGCTTACAAGGTATCGCTAAGAAAATGAAATAAGAAAATAAAATGTTAAAAAAAATTAAATAAAAGAAGTCGTTCTTCTTTTATATGTTTGTGCGTGAGTTAAATAAAGCACGACTTAAGGAAGACTTTGAATTGTACAACTATTGAAACACCCATTCCTGCGATTCTCACTCGATAACTGTGACTCGGTTTGTTTTATATTCGAGGCTATATGTCTACTGATAGTCTGATGGAAATATGCAGAGGTAAACGTACCGATTATCGATGTACGTATATATATATATATACGATTTATAAATCACGTCATGTTTGATTCTAAACGTTAATAGAACTCTCTACGACTGCAACTAACACTGAGCTTAGATTGAAGCCACAACGAGGAGGAGAGGAGCTCGTGACTGCCGAGGCCGAAGCGGGGTCGAGTATTACCTGCCTTGCAACTTGTTATCAATACATTATCTCCGTCCTTATCATACCATTCGCTCACCGCAACATTAATCACCGTCGCACATCCCCACATAACAGATCGCATTCATATTTCGCAATTCAAATTCAAAAATGTAATCTTTTTTTATATTTATACAGTGGAACCTCGCTTAACGAGCACCTCGCATAACGAGCAAAATGAATTGTACGAAAAATGACTCGCTTAACGAGCGACGTCCCGGATTGCGCGCCTGCTACATCATATTAACCATCTTCGATTTTCTTTGTCATCTTTCTTTAAAACGGACTATAGTTTGCAAATTCGTGTTTGCTGTAAATTCAAAACACAAATGTATTGTGTCTAATCATTATTATAATATATGAAAATCTGGAAATTTTGGAACAGATTAAACTCGTTAATCGATGTTCCTCTGTATATCGAATATTATTACCGCATTAAGAATGTGACAAAAAACGTGAGAAACTTGTAACTTCCAGGTACATATTTAATCTTCAATGTCTGTTTTGATAAGCTTCCAGGAACATGTCTTCCTCTACAAATATTGTACAACAAATAATAAATAAAAAACAGGAAACATCTTAATGGAATTATATGTTTGCTTTATTAAATTTATCTAAGTGACGTGGTACCTTACATAATTTTTAGGATAGGTTAGTGTTTTTAGTAATCTATATAATACTGAACATTAAATTATGTTTTATTGTTTATTTTTATAAATAGAGAAGAAATTTGTACTGCTAATATCAAATTAAAGGTGATTCAAATTATATTGATTCTATACTTTTTATATATATTTTAAAATAAATACTGATAAAAAATATCAGTTTTTACATAGATCCTAAATATAGGATTATTAAACAATACTCTGTATTATTATTTTATTACTATAAATATGATTTATGTGAAAAGTAATCTCGGAATAGATTCGATTTTATGGCCAATAAAATATAGCGGGTTGGAAAATAATCGAGTTTTCTCGTTAAACCAATTATACATAGCATTTAAATGAAAAAGAGTAATAATTGAATTTATATATGAAATTACATGCGTTCGTTATTTCAGAATTAAGATGATGCGAAGAAGTGAATTGAAGTGCAAGAGCGGCATTTCTTGTGGGAGCATTAAATGCAAGGTAAGCTAAACTTTGCTAAAGTTTTCATTATAAAAAAAGAACTTGTCAATTCTATTACAAAAGCAATCTTTAATTATTTTAATCATAATTTAATATTTAATTTTAGTCTCCGTTAGTTTTTTTTCTCCGTAGTATTTTTTTACATTTTTTGTGTATATTTAGAAAATTACATATAAAAAATAAGTTTACAATATTAAAATATTTTAAATTGAATACAAAGTTCATTAAATGATGAAACAATTCTTGTATGAAAATTCATAATGATTGATCTTTTTAGCAGACATTTAATAAGAAATTTCAAATACAACAAAAATATATTTATATAATTATTGTTGTTCTCATTGTGTTGTAATGTATTTAATAAATGCTTGAGGTGAAAACCGTTTTGCAACATTCGTTCCATTTTCTTCCGTAACATCGTGAAGCAAATAATATTATTTATTATACATTATTTACAACGTTTTCTTTTTGCAAAACCCATAAGATGCTTGCTATAAGAGGCAACGGACACTATTAATATAGCTGTATCTCCATTCTCGTTGCATGGCAGAAATCTAATAAATATTAGTGATTCATATTAGGTAGCATGTGTACTATAACATCTATATTCTCTCGCAAATAAAAATATTTACTTTTATACATTGTTTGCGACCCAATTCAATTGATAAGATAATTAAAAAATTTCATTTAAAAAAAAATATAATACATGGTTAAATGGTTTATGAGTGATTTATGGTTTATTTAACACATATTTGAAAATTCAAGTTTATAATACAAATAATTATCATATTTTTTAATTTGTAAAAAAATATATCATAAAATTGCGTTATTATCTAAAATATATTTAAATGTTTTCATAAAATTGGAAATAATAAGTTTTTAATTCATGCAGATTTATTTCAAAGTCATGATTGATCTAAGTTCAAAGTCGGCAAAGATAATGCAAATGTTATCTATTAATATTAATTAATGGCTATTTTTTCTATCATTGCTTAGATTCATTACATTAATAGAAGTGGGTTAGGTAGAAATAGAACTATCTGAAGCAAATGAATTGTGTATGTATTCTTAAATCATGATTAATGTGTCTTACAATTTTCAATGTAATTCAGTGATTCATCACTAAATTCAATTTTAATTGAATCAATGTGTGCAATTACTTAAACTGTGCCACTTTCGTTCCCATATTTGGATACATTTAACAGAACTTCATCGAAAAAATGATCTGCAATGATTGAAAACCTTTACAAACTTTAGTGAAAAGTAGACAAGAATTTCACAATAATATTTTCCAATGTTCTAGTAAAAATTGAATTGGATCGTTATACAATTGTGCTACAGATTTCAGAGAGTTTAAATGTATTAAACACAACAACTGAAATGTCTTGGACATTTCAATTCGCACGAATTGAAAAAGATTCACTTAACATTACGAATCAATCCATTTCAAACGAAATGAAATCATCACTTTTTTAATGATGATAAATAGATAGTCTATAATAACATCAATGATCATGAACTGAATTGTATTAAATTGCAAAAAAAAAATTATTTAAATAATCTTTTCATGTATTCAAATGAAAATCTGGTTATGAAAGACTCGCATATTAAGGAATATGTAGTTAATACGTTGTAAGAAAGTCATATAGATAGAAATTATTATTTTTAAAGTCTGAATTTAGACTAAGCAGACATCGTAAAACACTAATCTTATCTTTCGCAAAATAAATAACACTATGTTTATCAAATGTAATTGGTACTGTATTCGAAAATTACCTTGAGTTTTTGACTCAGAAATTGAACAACCGACCGACTACCCAAGAAACCACGTAAGGAACTATTGGAACTTCACAACTAAACATTTCCTATTTGTCGTATCCATTAGTGAATTTATGTTAATTCCACACGTGAATGCAAAGCTAATTTGGCAATTCTTTCAAGATCAATAATGGTTTTAAAATTATATCCTAAAAAACTATGTTAATTCTTTTATTATTCTTATAATAATTATACGTTTTTTCACAATTTTATGTTCATTCATTTTACATACTTTACGCGTTTTTTTTTTTAAATCAGCGCAGAACTGTAAATATAAATACTAAGATCTCACTTTACTCATTTGTGAAATAATGAGAAATCACTAAACAAATTATTTTTTGAACAATTATCATAAATAATTAGTAAAAGTAAATATTGAGTTTTTAGTTTATGAAATTAGAAATTTTCACTGTTCGAACGAATATTCATAATGATTCGTAAAAATAAATATTGACTATTAGAAATAAATGTTGATAAGATTAAAATTTATATTAAAAAAAAAGTAATCAAAAATTGGTTTACGTAATTCCTATGAAAATAAAACTTGCTGCTTTTTGTTTGTTGTTGTTTTATGCAGTTACATTTGGGCGTGTAAATGTTTAATGATAGAGTGAAAACTTCGCTTCTATTGAACCTTTGAAGAATCATTGGACTGTTAAAACAAAACACGAGCTTCGATATAATTACTAGCGACCATATGCCGTGTGTGTACGTGTTTGCAGATGCTATTCTTGGTGCGCGATGTTTAGCATTCGAGCATAATATGTAATTACATAAACACAAACAATTGAAATCAATGCGCCCTGCGAGAACGCAACTCCGTATTTACATCCTGGATCATCGTTATTTGACTGTGTGTTCATTAACGTTAATTTCTCGATCCTTCCATAGACGACATTGAAGATAAATCAACGGTATTATTATGTAATAATTCGTTGCTCCAATATTTATTTACGACGAAATTTTTTCATACAGTCTTTATCAATTTATTGATAAAATTGTTATCATCGATAACATTTGGCAACAACAAACGCTCGCTCGATGGTTATTAATAATGTTGATTTCCAGGAAAAACATTACCTATAAAATAAATTAATAATAAAAAGAAAATGATTGCGTAAAATGATTTATAACTGTATCATGTGGATGCTTCAAACTCTTTAAATTCAGATACAGAGAAAAGTATTCAGGGCAAGAAAATAAAAGCACGTTAATAGGACAATTATTATAATCAAGGGACGAATCTTAAATAATTTTCCAATAAACTTTATACGTTACGATGATTTTGGTAATTACCATACGAAGATAACTCGATTTTAAATGCAGCTCTCTTTATAATCTACA